CGGTTGGAAAAAGGCCTTATTAACTATCAAATCCTTTGATAACCATGGAAGAAGGCATTTCCTATAGAGATTACCAAGCTTAGACTTAGGGTTTATTAGGATGATTACATCTTTTTATAAATGCAAATTTAAAGAGTTGTGGAAAAAACTAAGTCTTTTGAAAATTGCTATATAAAGTAGCTTCATAACACAAAAATTTCTTTAAAGTGATGGCAAAACAAAAACTATAAAGACTTAGTAATGTGCCCTTGCCATAACGAAAATGAGGGTTCACTTCCTTTGAAGAAAAATAGTGTTGTGGTACATTTTCCCTTAAAAGGAAGATATTGCAAAGGTTTCTCAACTCAGGGGAGGAAACAATGACGGATTCAAAAGTGGGGGCTAGCGGGGGCACGTGCCCCCCCTAAAAAAAAATGTGTACATATGCATATTAGATTTATGTCTTGCATATTACTATATCGTTAAGGCCACCTGTCAATAAAGCAGGCTATTTTGAAGCCTACCTATAGATGCAACAATCCAATCAACAGCATGATGATGAATCAATATTCACGGCATCACATATCAGTCTATAATATATATATATATATAGAAAGGTGTAGATTTGTAAAAATCTATCCAAGGCATCACATGATAATTGTGAGATCATACATTTTATTAAAAATATATGTTATATGGAATTAAAAGTAAATTCAAAATCTCAAAAAAGTTTGAATAATGATTTTGCTTTTCAAATTTTTAATATATCATGATCGATATTTATCTGATTTATAAGTGATTTATAAATTTGGAAAAATTAATTGTGGCTAGGATTTGTTCATATTTTTTTTGTTTTAAAATTGTCTATGCTAATCCAAACTTGGATGAAAAAAGTGGATAAAAAATTTTGTCAAAATAAATTTAGGCCCCGCTGAAATTTTTTTTTTGGCTCTGCCATTTGGAGGAAAAGAGGGTGGAATTCAAAAGAAACAAAATAAGTATAATACGGAAATCAAGAATTTGGTAATAACTAATACAACTATGAATAAGCTTCACACCAGTCAATATAAATTTATTCTATTAAATATATTTACAATCTCTTTATTTTGTTCAAGCCAAACATACCACTAAAGCAAATTGAAAAAAAAATGATAAGCAAACATATAATAAATTATAATAATTTCGCTATTAAATTAACAATATATAAAATAACTTCAAATTAGTATTGTTGCATTTTGAAATATTTGCATCGGTAGAGAGCGAATTTATCATATTATATACACATATATGATAAGAGCAGCTCACATGAGATAATGAGTGATACGTCATGCAAAAATTATCTTGATCAGGCACAAATCCGGAAACTTCAAAAATTAAATCCGGAAGCACTCGAACTCCGATTTCAGTGAGCTTACAGTCAAATTGAGCATCTCAGAAATATGAACCCAACGACACCAAATTGAACTCAATCCGAGTCCAAATGAGCCCAAATCAAGCACCCAAAGTGCTGTTGGAAAGCTTGTACCACAATTTGAGTTACCAAACGGTCTCCAATTTTAACCAGCTTATACTCTAATCGAACGGCTCGACGAGACGAATCCAACGAGCCCAAGATTGCCAAATTCTGACATCACTAAGGCCTTCAAATGTCCAACTAACGATGCACAATCGAAGGGTTCAATATCGGCCGTCCATTCGACCACTCCCTATTCGCCCATGATCTCACACCTATTTACAAGCCACGCCACTCCAGAAAAACTATAAATAGAGCCTTCATTCTTCACAAGATAACCAAAGCAAGAAAGAGAAGAGAAGAATGAGGAGAATCAGCTCCTCCTAAACCATCGCCGGAGTTCGTCCCGCCGCCCGAACATGCCGGGATTCTGCGTGATATTCGGGAGAATGTTGGAATTCTGTCCAACTTCCACGTGATGCTGAAATTCTTCCTAATTAATGACATAGTTCCCTCATGACGTCGAAACTCCGCCCAAGTGAAGCCAGAGTTCTCCTCCGCCACCAACAGACGTCGGACTTCTACCTGACGTCGGACCTTCACTCTTCGCCAAGTTTCTACCCGACGCCGGACTTCTACCGGTTATCGGACTTCGCTGGACGTCTATGCTAAAATGGATTTCTTTCCATGGTTGGATTTCTTCCTGACGCCATCATTCTAACCTTCGTCGTCAGACAATAGTTCTTCCGACCTCCGTCGCCAGCCGACTACGGTCCTCCTGACTTACGTCGCCCGCCGACTACAGTCTTTCCGACATCCGTCGTCTGTCGACTACAGTCCTCCTTACTTACGTCGCTCACCGACTACAGTCTTTCCGACCTCCATCGCCAGCCGACTACGGTCCTCCTGACTTACGTCACCCACCGACTACAAGCCTTCCGACCTCCGTCGCCCGTCGACTACGATCATTCCGACCAAACGAAGACGTCAACAATGACTCTTTGTATTAACATCATGTAATGTACTCCATAAGATGTACATCAAGCTAAGGCCTTCCCCCAAGGAATGACCTCATTTGTAATCAACTACAATACTAGTGGATTCATTCAAACTGGGCTAGACCCCGTGGGTTTTCCCCCTTTTCAGGGGTTTTCCACGTAAAAATCTTGGTGTCTCATAAATGCTAGACCCTCTCTCTTATCTGATGGCGTGCCGGATTTTCGTACAATGCTAAGACGATAAATTTTATATTTCTTTACCGCCGCGAATACTCCTGTACGCAACAATGAGTATTGATACTTAAAAAAAAAAAGGATGACCAGAAAAATATGAGGCCTAATCTAATTAAAGGGATTCAACTATTTATAATTTAGGGTTGTCCAAAAAAATTAATAGGTCGGGTTTAGGTCTATCCTAAAATTGACATGACTCAAATCCAATTAACTCAAACCCAACACGTTTAATAAATGAGCCAAAAAGACTAAATTGAATTCGACCTACAAGCAACTTGAATGACCCGAACCTAACTAAGTAGTCAATTTTGATTTTATATATATACCTGCAAGCAAAAAAATTAAATAGATTATTTTTGGGTCAAAAGTTGGTTTGCGGGTCAAATAGAACCCAACTAGTTTAATAAAGAGGTTGAAATTCCAAATTTAAATACGACTAATTTATTAAACGTGTTAATCCTAATATGGATTTTTTGAGTTTGGTTTGGCTGGATTTTATTATTATTATTATTATTTTTTGGAACAGGGTATTGATCACCCGCTACCACCCCAAAAGTGCGCTTGATGGCGTGACTAATCCTCGGCCGACCTAGAAGAGCAACCCACCCTAGAAACTTTCTGTCTCGCATTTGATTAGGCCTCACTTAAGAGGCGCTGTCGCTCAAGGAAAATCTAACACAGGTTGGAGGATTCCCAAGTAACTATACTTGCCCACCAACCAAGCTAAGAAACGGTGAGTAGGTTTGGATGGATTAGCTAGTCCGGTTATTTAGCTATTTATATATGAGTTACTCTACTTTTTATTTTACTGTATGTTAAAAAAAAAATAAAAAATGAAACAGCACATGGAAAAAGCCAAAAGCTAAGGGGAGAGATTCCTGTAAATGCACAGAAGCCTTTTAATAGCATATTCCAGGGGTCAAATAGGGGGTGGGTTGGCCAGTCAATCCACCATAGTACACCCTCTTGAAGTTAATAGATGCCAAAATTCCTATCATGGGTGGTACAAATATTGTGGTCCCTCGCTTGGTTTGGTCTGCTTGCTAAAAACCAAGCCTCAAGGCCCCCCTAAGCGCCATTTCAATACTCTTTTTTTGGAGCTTTCTATCATTTTCGCTTCCTTTAAAGTCAAACTCAACCGTCCATTTGCTGAGATCTAAATAGGCCCACCAAACTGGCTAAGTTGATAAAATAAGATTAGAGATCTTTATGATAATGATTGATTAGCTAATTAAAAGTAATGATAAGTTTGCTATTAGATGGTATTATAGAGACTTATGTTTGTATATTTAGTAATGAGATCTTAGGCCCGTCAATGGATGACATGATTCGAAAATTTAGATTCGGGTTGACCCGTTTAATAAACTAGTTCAATTTTTATTTGGACTTTTAGCTCGTTTTACTAAATTGGTTGTAGGGGTGTCAATATTTGGCACGACCCGAAAATCCGATTTGAACTCGACCTGAGAATTTCGGGTTAGGGTAACTCGTTTGTGAAATGGGTAGGGTTCGGGTTCAACAAACCGATCCGTTTCAAAAACCGGGTTGGTTTCTGATCAACCCTTTTCTACCCGAAACATTTCCGGATTCGAACCAAATCCGAAACCCGAAACAATGGATGCCAAAATTCCTATCCAACAATTCCGGTTGACATCCCTAATGGGTTGGGTTGAACCACAAACCCATTTTTGATTAAAAAGTGACCAATTTAATATTATTTAAATTCTTTTGTTTCTTGGCATGATCTTTTTTGATCAATTAATTTAATAAGATATAAATTTTTTTAAACAAATATGATTATCAAGTTTGATTCGGGTCATTTGAATTGCTAGTTGTTGATTGAGTTTTGATTTAGACTAATTAGATTTTGGTCGGATCCGAAATATATTGTAATAAAAATATATTTAATTATCAAATGAGTGTATTCTAGCTAAAAAAATAGTTGTTTATTAAGAGTTTTGACTTTTGATTAAATACATAAATTACATTATTCACTAAATTTCAAATAGTTTTTTATGATAATAACAGCCTGAATTATTTATATTTATATTTAGTTTATCGTTAAAATTTTGATTAAAATATTTTGTCAATTTGAAATTAACTAATTCTTCCAAATTTTACTTTCTTTTAGGAACTTCAGAGAATAAATTTTGAAATGGACTAAAATATAAAATATCTTATCTTATTGGTGACATTTGAAAAAGTCTCGTTATAATAATGTCTAGCTTTGTCTTCCTCACGATTGCATTAAAAGCCAAATTGTGATTTAAGTAAAGCGACTGAGCGAGCTTCTACAGCACTATAAATATCAATGAGATTGGGCTTTAGATATAATCGGGTCCGCCCGAGGCCACGGGCTGGGGGCAGTAACTCAGGTGTGGACGAAGCGTAAAACGCCGGCGATTTCGCGATTCTCCCTCTCTTCTTCTAGCTCAGTTGGCTCCGGTAATCTCGCTTTCTCTCTTCTCTTTATTGCTATCTTGATCACTATCTTATCTGCGCGTTTCACTGTCCATTTTGAGCTTGTAATTTAAAAATTGGTTTCCCCTTTCTTTGACTACTTAGGAGGTGAATTCTTAACTTGTGATGAGGAATGTAGAAAGAAAGGGATCGGGAATGAGTTGAAGGGAAGAGATTGTTGATTGAGATTGTTTGTACTGTCTTGGGGTTCGGAGTTTTTTGTGTGTCTGGTTAAATTGGAAGGATTCAGTGTGAGTTTAGGAGAAAAGGCGTTACCTTTTTGTTTATTTGTCTTCTTTTTCTTTCTAGGTTTTTAGGTTTGATATTTGGTGAAGGAGATGTAGAGTTTGCATTTGGTTGTGGGGTTTGGCTGTGGAGTTTGCCTTGTTCTTAAGCTGGTTGTTCTTGGCCCTGTCGCTTGATAAGGTAGTCGTCTTTGACTGTTTCTTTCTTTTCTAAAGTTCTTTTCAATGTTACAAAAATAGCTGCAGGAATCGTTCCGAGCTATTTTGGAAGATCAAACTCGTCAAGCTCTAGTATTTCAAAAATATATTGGGAGGAGGTTTCAGGAAACATGTTTTGTTCAAAGAGAAATTTGAAAGAGAATGCATACAAAATATCGAAAAAATTTCTCTATAAATTCTCTAGATTAGGCGAAACAAAATAAAAACTTTCTGGATGCATAAGTTTTTGATCACATAAAACAAAAAAATATGCATAGATTGTAATAATTACCTTTCTATGTTTAAAGGAAGATCTAAAAAGTAGGGCATAGTAGATCATGAAAGGAATCACTATTGAAGAAGCTGACAATTAATGAAGTTAAGATGAAAAGAAGGCTTTGGCGATTGACAATGTGGAAGAGGAATCACAATTGAAAAAACAGACACAATCAATGAAGTTGAGATATGGAGAAAGCTCCGATGATTGACAATGTAAAAATGAATCAAAATCAAAGAAGTCATTGTGAAATCCAATGTCTAAATGTAGAAAAGGCTTCAACTATGAATGATGTAGAAGTGGAATCTAGATTGATAACATGAAGAGGAGGTGATTTTGCCCCAGGGAGAAAAAACTTGAATTGGGGAAATACATGAAGTTTGGGATTCAGATGGGATTAGGTGTGGAGTTTTGGTCATGGAAGTGTGTTTTAAAAACATAAGAAAAATACTTGAAACTCACTTTTAGTGCTTTAAAAAGAAAGTAAAATATTTTTATTTTTTTACTATTTTTGAAAACACGATTTTAAAATTAAAAATAAAATTTTATTCCAAACAATTCCTTAGGAACCTTTTGGGATTGCTTTTGTTTTTTTAACTTTTTTATTTTAATTTCAATGCCAATTTGTTTATATTTGACATGAAATAAAGCATATTTGGTGTCTTAAAAACATGTTTTTATTTATTTATACGGTGGCAATAATGGTTAACAATGGGAAGGTGGTGGTAGTTGACGAGGCAATTATGGTGGTGCTGGTTGCTAGCGACAACAGTGATAATTATTTTTAAAAATATTCAAAACATTTTAAAGTTATTTCTGTTTAAAAGCAACCTGATTTGTTTTTGAATATAAAAAATAAAAATAGTTATACTACATCAACAACAACAACAACATTAAGCCTTTATCCCACTATGTGGGGTCAACTACATGAATTATTTTTCTCCATTCTGTCACGTTAAGAGTCAAATTCTCATTTAAATTAATAAAAAAAAAGTCATTTGTAATGTTTTTTAGCCAAGTCTTTTTATGTCTACCTCTACCTTTTCTTAACATAGGCTTAATCATATACATCTACTCTCCTAACTAGGTCATCAGAATGTCAACATTTTATGTATCCAAACCATCTGGGTTGACTCTCTGTATTCTTATCTGCCACTGGAGCTACTCCAACATTTTCACGTATATACTCGTTTCACATTGTCTCTAAGAGTGAAGCCACTCATCTACCTGAGCATCTTTATCTCTGCAACACTTAACTTAATTTTATGCTTCTATTTTAATGGCCAATATTATGTGCCATAAAACATTGCAGATCTCACCATAATCTTATAAATTTTTTCCTTACATTTGAGGGGTGCTTTTCAATAACATAATAGGTTCAATGCATTCCTTAAATTTAACCACTCAACCTGAATTCTACAAATAATATCCTCATCTATTTCACCATCACTTTGAACAATAAACCCAAGATATCTAAAACATGTGCTCTTATTAATGAATTGATCGCTCAAAGTCACAATTCCCCAATTCAGTTTTAGATCTACTCAAACGAAAACCACTTTAAGGTTGACCTCCATAATTCAAGGTTTTTTTCAACTCTCTCTTTAGTCTTATCACAAAAAAGAATATCCTCAACAAAAAGCATACACTAGGGTACATTCTCTTGTAATGTCTAGTAAGAACATCCATGAATAAAGCAAAAAGATATGTGCTTAAAGCTGATTCTTGATGTAATCCAACTAAAATAGGAAAATATTTGATCAAACCATCTTTTGTTTGAACACACGTAAGAGCTCTTGCATACATATCCTTAAAGAATTGAATATAAGCTTTCTTAACTCCTTTGTTTTTTAGAACTCTCGAGAGCACTTCTCTAGAAACTTTATCATATGTTTTCTCTATCTATACTTCTCCATCAAATCTCTTAATAAATGTATAACTTCCATAGTAGACTTGCTCCGCATGAATAAAAATTGATTTAGAGAAACATTAGTATCATGTCGTAACCTATGCTCAATAAATCTCTCTTATATTTTTAATGTATGATTCATTAACTTAATTCCTCTATAATTCGCACACTCTTATGCATCATCTTCATTCTTGAAAATAGGAATCATTACACTCTTTCCCCCTGCCCCCCTCAGCATTTATATAAAAAAAAAGAAAAAAAGAAAAAAAATAAGGGTGTTAATTCAGGTTAATGGGTCGGGTTTTGATTTGGATTTGACTAGAAATGGACTTGATCTGTGAAAGCTTGACTCAAACCTACTTATCATATGGGTCAAAATATTTGACCCAAATCTTACTTGACCCGAACCTAACTAACTCGAACCTGACAAGTTTTACTTGTTTATCATATAGATATTGTAATTTTTTTAGATAGATATGACCCAACCAAACACTTGTTTGACCAAAACTTGACTCCTTCAACCCAAATTTGAATGATAATCACGTCAATTTCTATTTTTCGATTCAACTCAACCGCCCCAAAAATTAATCGCGTTAACTCGAAACTAGTTTTTCAAGCCTTGTGATTTGGGGGTTGGTCAAGCCATTTATTGATATCACTACAAAAGTGATCCCAAAATGATCCTTATTATTCTCCATTTTTCTTGTGTTATTTGGCCTATTCTTTTGGTTCCATAACAAGTGTTGGGTATTGAACACCCCATAGTACTCCTTAACAGTACAAGGAGCATTACTAACATAAACCTTTAATTATTTGATCATATAATGCTTTTGATTGTTTGATAATATTTTATAAAACATCTATCAGCTCAGTTTGCATACATCTCATCAAACGGAAGCAACTAATAACTTTAAATTTCAACATAAGATGCTTATAGAGCCACTACAGAAAATCAAAGCAATACATAATTGGGAAGTTTACATACCTCAAGTTTAAACTTCAAACAAAGATAAACATAATATAGCATAACACATGAAATACTTGTCAATTTAATTTATTATGATCTTCTCCTTTTTCTTTCCTGTAACAAAGCTAGTAAGAAAATACTGGTGAGTTATGAGGCTCAATAAGCTATGCAATTCAATAACAATTAAAATACAAAAACTGTAATAAATAAAAACATTAAAATCATATTTAACTAAACTTGCCATTACATGTAAAATATCATAAAATCATCATTAACATTAGTCTTTAATTCTTTCGACGTTTACACTGAATATCAATTTTAATATGTATAAGATTTGGCTATATTTTCATATCATTATTCAATGGAGCCCAGGTAAACCTGACATTATCGCCATTGAATTACATAGAGATTCCTTTTGCCTCTTTAGGGGTCCATTTTGCCCCACATGCTATGCATGTATCATGTTCTCTGGGGTCCCTTTTGCTCCACTTATAATGTAGTCTCATATATGGGAACCCTTTTGTCCCATCTACATTTGTAATTTATACATCATATGTAGCTAAACTTTACTTTTAAATTGATATTCACAAACTTTCCAGTATTCATAAGTCATACTTAAGTTTTTGCATGCTTTTATAATCATTCATGTTCAAATCTGTATACAATTAAAATGCATATCATATGTAAGAAAATTGATATCTTTTCAAAACAGTATCAAATAGGAAAATTTAGATTAACATATTAAACCTTATTTTATACTTACCTGATTAAATTATTTGTCTGATTCTTCATACTTGAAAACTTGAAGGTATAATCCTTCCTATACATTAAACGACTTTGATAATCTTTTACTTTGATGCATTCAGATTTAACCTCCATACTTATAATTGAAAGTCATTATATTTGAAATATACATGCATTCCTTACCTCTTCGCCGAGATAGCTCCTCCAATTCTTTACTTCGTACCCTTCTACGATTGTAAGTCACCTCAAAACTTTCCATTTGCATAAGATCAGACGAATCTATGACACAATAAATATAACATCTTTAAGAATATTTAATACCTTAAATAATATAAAAGACAAGGAAGAATATTATAATTCTTATCTTCCTTCCAATCTTTCTTTTACTTTTACTCTAAACTTCTCTTTGATTTTCCCTACTCACATACATTCTCCATATTTTATGCTCACAATAACTGATAATTCCTGCACAGTCGAACTCCTTACATGCAATGTGCCAATTTTCCTTCTAAGCAGTGTCGAATTCCCTCAGCCGAACACTACTACAGTACCGCTGCTTGAATCGTCAGTATGCAGGATTCCACTGTGCCGAATATCTCACTCATTAGTGCTACAATGTTATTCGAACTTTATCCAAAAACTTCTATACAGCAATTCTAATGCTTAACAAAATTCTTAAGCCAAAAATGAAATTCTACAGAACTTACCGGAACTCCTGTTTTAATTCACTGTGCCGAGACCTGATATAGTGGATTTTTGCAAAATCTGATACATGGTCATTCTTCCTACTGTGCCGAAAAGGAAACAATGCCTCCTGTGAATTTCTTCTTCCGTTTCTCTATAGCGGACTGCTCTAGGCGGATAAAACAAAGAAGATAAGGAGTGAGGTCCACTAATAACCACTCCTACATCCAAAGAATGCATCTATTCAGGCATAATTTTCATTTAGTATACTTAACTGTTTTAAAGAATGTTAACCACAATTTAATATTAACTTTAAAGATTCCTTATAAATTAATGCCTGAATTTTCGGATTTTACAGGTATCATATTCTTTCATAGTGTTTCTGCACATTGTGAAGAAACTTGATTTATTGCTTTATTTCTATCAAGCTTCGTTATGTTTATGTTATGCTTATTTGCGGAACAATGATTTGAAGTTCAGAATTTGCTTTAGCTAGCCATGTTATAAAAATTTTGTGGTGTTTTTTATTCTAAGAATTGATCATTGTATTTTTCTCTCACAGATCATTGTATTTTTCTCTCACATTTCTGTTCTTCCTCCTTTTTTTTTATTTTTCTCTAAAAGCCTCTTGTATTTTTTTTTTGTTTTCTGGCATTGATATGATGTTTTGTACCCTTCTTTTGAGATGTGTGCTTTTGAGCCAATTAAAATTTAGGGTCTATTTGGGATATTTTTATTTTTTATTTTTACTTATTTTTAAATATGTTTTTTTAATGTATTTTTAACATATTTCTATTTGTATTTTTTAAAACAAATTATGTTTTTTTAAATATGAAAAGAACTTTCAGGTGTTTTTAAAACGACCGTCACCATCGGTGTTGGTCACCTTCAGCTATCATCAATATCCAATAAAAATATAAACATGTTTTTAAATAATCAAATATATTTTATTTTAAATTAAAATATTAAAAAAAAGTGATCCAAAATGGCTCCTTCGGAAATTGATCATTCTATGTTTTTTGTTTTGTGCTCTTGTTTTAAACTCGTCTTGCATTTGATGTGATCTGCTACTGTACTTCTAGTCTTCTATTGTTAATTCTATTTTTCTTTCTTTATTTATTTGCTGTAAAACTGGATCTTTGTTTTATTAGATCCCACATCATGAGTTGCTCAGAAAATGATGGCAACATCTTAATGGTCTCAAAGGAACAGCTTGAGTCATCATCTACTGATGAAGGTAGTTGTAGTGGATCATCTACGGGAGGAGGAACAGTCAATTTGAAAAAGGGACCTTGGACAACTGCAGAAGATGCACTTTTGATTTCATACGTCCAGAAACATGGTGAGGGAAACTGGAATGCTGTTCAAAGACACTCTGGGCTACTTAGGTGTGGGAAGAGTTGCCGGCTGCGATGGGCTAATCATCTTAGGCCACATTTGAAAAAGGGAGCCTTTACTACAGAGGAGGAGCAATTTATTATTCAAATGCATTCTAAGATGGGAAACAGATGGGCTCGGATGGCTGCACTTGTAAGCATTATTTTCATGTATTAAGAAAATTTTTCTTATCTTTTCACTTCTGTTTACTCCTGCAGATAACTTATTTAATGGACGATTAGACTCTTTCCACTTTCTTATTTAAAAACAATATTTATAAATTGTTCTTCAAATTTTGTGCATTATAAAGAGAAGGCTTCATAAATGTTTTGCAATCTATCATAGATGGTTGTGGTGATCATGTCGCTGTCATATTACTTGCATTTTTAAGACTCCAATTTTGAGTTGGTGGAATTTGTTTGGTATCTTCAACAAATACATAGATAATATGCTTTGGCATTGTACAATGTGACATTTTTATGAATTTATTTGGTAACTACTGCTACTAGATTCTTGAGAAAAGAGGTCTTGTAAATAATTTCTCTTCGGTTCAGTTGATGAATATATTCACCAAATATTTATGTTTAAGGTGCAGCGACCTCAATATTACAATTATGGATATGGATCGGAGATTTCTTTTTATTTTTCAAACAAGATGGCAACCACTCCATCCACATGGGTACCGTTTAAAGATTCTACTTGAAAGCTTAAACACATTTGTAACAAGGCTTGTGTTTGAGTCTGGTAGGCTATTTATTTCATACATACATAGAGAACGAAAAATTAATTTGTTGTCTTTATTTATGGATATGTGCGGAAACTGCCAGACTTTGCAGTTTATTATACCTAATGTATTTACCACGTCAACCATGGTTCCATCATTATTTCTCACATTGCACTTCTCTTCTGCAATGTGCATTTTGGTAACAAAACAAGGTAATTTAGAAAGGACTAGTGCAAGTACTGATAGTGCTTTGTGTTAGACTGGTCCAGCCGGCCCCTTGCCAAGGGCCGGTCCATGTTTATAGAAGGTGGGCGGCAAGAGAGAGGGAGAGGGGGAGGGGTCCACTAAGGATTCAAATTCAAACAAGTTGGAGCCAAAGGAGGGGGCGGCAAAGGCTAATATATAATTTGGCTTAATTGTTTAATTGTTTGCTATAAGTAGGAAATAGAGGTTAGGGTTAGGGATATGCTTTGTTTTGTGGATAGTTTCGGAGTTCTTGTTCTTCGTATCTTGGGCCCTAGATTCGTCTAGGGTTTTGGAGAGAATGATCCTCCTCTCGAATTGAGGATCAATTGTATCTTGCTTTATTCCTTCCGTCGGTTTGCTTTCTACAATAAAAACTACTGTTTTTGCTTGTTTTCTATTAGATTTGTGGAGTTTTCCAGCTGTTTTCGTCAATCTTGTTAGGGTTTATTTGAAATATTTAAGTATTTCCTATGACTTTGTCATATTATTGACAAAATTTCAAACAAGGAAAGTGGGTAACTTGAACCCGGTTATGTTTATGCATGTATGATTTATTTGGAATTAGCTAGACATAGCAGTCTGGACTAGCGTGGCTGGTTGTTTTTTGTAGATAGTTATTCATTAGTAACTGGCAAGCGCAATTTACATTTTTTTTTTGGCTTGCTTTATTAAGCCCGATAATTGGGATAAGGATAAGATACAAGAAAATAATTTGGAACCTTTAAAAACCAATTTAGGTGGAGATGCTGAACCATTAATTTTTTTTTTTAGCTCCATTTGTTTGTTCTTATAAGGAATGATTACATCCATTGGATATCAACTTGAAGTAGAAATTAGTTTGTTTATTTACTTGGATTTTATGCATTTAGTATGACTTAATAATAGTTTAGAAAGCTATTTGGATTTTAATTGGGATTGAACTGAATTTGTTGGGTCCAAATTGAGCTTGGATTGGACCCAATTTGAGTAAAATTGAATCGATTTGAGTCAAAATCAACATTAATTTGAGTCAAATTAGGCTTGGCTCGGCCAATATATATTGACCGAGGTTAATCGAACGTAGTTGAATCAAATTCAATTCGATCTGAGTGAATTTGAACTTGGTATGATTTGACCAAGGCAATTTAATAAAATCAAGTTCAAATTGATGCTGATTCGACCCGAATTTAGCTTGTCGTGGCTCAATCGAAGGGAAACATGCATGCTCAAGGGCCTAAATGCAAGAATCGTGGTCAATATTAACATTCTGTTTGAATCTATTTGGCATCAATACTTCTAAAAATGTAGATACTTTATCAACATTCAATCCAACTATTTTTACAAAGTTCTTTGAAATGAAGGAGAGTGATGCTCCTGTATCAAAGATGATTTCTACTGGCCTTCCTTGAATTGTTATCATACTTATAAATTTGCATAGGAATTAACATATTCATATATTTATATATTTCTTCTCATTCTGTCTTTAACTATTTCTAAATTACTTGATTTATCATGCAACTAAATTTTTTTTCATGAATTAAATAAAACATACCTATAATTACTTCAGGTGAGTCCTTGATATCCTGCTGAGATAATGCATATACTCCAAGTTGAGTACTGGGTCGACCTTGACTTGGCCCTGGAGTAGAAGCAACTAATTCAATCTTTTTTTGTCTTTCAATATTTCTCAGAGATCCAATATTCATTCTTGATTCCTCTGATGGTCTTTGCCCTAGTGTAGGACAATTCTTGGCTATATGACCTAGTTGATGACACTAGAAGCAAGTAAATATCCCAGATGGACTTTCTCCATTGTGTTGTTTTCCACACTTACTATAATTGTTCAGGCTCATTTGAATATCACTATTTTTGAGTTTTGCCTTCTTTCAATTAAACTTCCCAGACTGTGAAGTAGATTTACTATAAGAATCCTGAGAAGCTCTCATAACATCACCACTCTTCCTCTTATGAAATTCACGTCTTCTTTGGGTATTTTACATGTCGATTTCTACCCTTCTAGCTCTTTCCACTAACATAGTATATTTTTCAATCCCCAGAGGAACAGGGGGCTTTCTGATTGCATCTTTTAATCTAGATAAGAATCAATGACATTTTTCTTTTGCAGTATTTACTAATTGAGGAGCATATTTGGGTATTGTTGTGAATTCAGCCGTATACTGCATGCTGATCTATCTTCTTATACCAGTCTTAGAAATTTATCCTGCATCTGCCTCATGGAATAAAGAGGCACAAACCAATCTCTGAACACCTGAGTAAAGTTATCTCATTTGAGTTGAATGTTAGGTACTCCAAATTTATCCTGATGTTGACCCCTATACCACCTTTCAGCCTCACCATCCAGTACAAAAGTCTCCAATGAAACTTTTCTCTTTTTAGGACAAAATATCCCCTCTAAAATTTTCTCAATTCGTAGTAGCCAATTCTCTATCTCAATTGGTCACTCTATCCCTTTGAATAGCGGTGGTCTAATATTCTTGATGGTTGATTGTTTGAGTCTTGAATTAATTATGTCATTGATGTCATCATTTATGTCAGTGCATTAGGGTTAACAACAACATTAGGCACTTCTCTTTCCATATCTTCTTCAGGATCATTTTGAGTCCTAAAAATTCAATTTAGAATTTCATATAAATTCATAATTCATTATTAATTCAACTTTAATAATCAACCTAATGGATCTTTTAGTATGATTCATATCCTAATTGGGCTCATATACAACTTTTGTCACGACCCGGTCTAGGGAATCGAATTAATGAAGTGTGAACAAACAGTTAGACGGTTAATATATTTTTTCACAATTACATATAACAATAATAACTAATATTCCTCAAACACTGAAGAGCCAGTAACATTACTTATACATTGAATATGCGTTTATACATAACGCATTTTACCTGCTTTCATTTGAGTGCCGTCTTTTGTACACAAAATCTTCTCTTTCAGCCATTTCTACTTATCAAGAAACTTACATGAAAAAAATTAATTTAATAGAGTGAGTTTACAAAGTAAACTAAGTGGGTATTCACCATTTCATATACAATATTTAGTCATATAAAATAAACATACATTTTTCTTTTTTACCTTTCTTTGTAAGTAACATATGCATTTTTTTTCATATACCATAAGTTTTATAATTTATTTTCACATAAATGATTTCATATTATGTTTTATTTATCCATTTCCACTTAACATTCCTTTCATTTTTTATTTGATATTTAATCAATTTTCATTTCCTTTATTATAAGAGCATCATCTAAATGTACCAATAAAGGTAAAACCATTTATATATCTCCTTTCTTTTTTCATTAAATTTGCACGGGTACATTGCTTCCCCAGCTAGTACCATAGGGAGTGAACTCCTATAATTTTGCGTGCATATACCTTTTTCTTTTTTTAATTACTTTCCTTTTCTTGTAAATGTCATTTAGTTTAGTCAATTTTTCTTCGCATATTATCATAATTTGTAAGAATATTTTTTATTCATATATATATTTATATATGTATATATCTTCGTAATTTAATCAATATCGAGTTAATTGTATATTTAATATTAAACTATGTTAAGTACTTTAGATGTATCATTATGTTCTATAAAAATCATGTGTCAAATACTTCATTTTATATTTCTTTTATCATTCTCAAATAACGTATTCATATAATAACCATCAAATCAATATAATGCTATAATCACATAGCAATTAGATAATTAAAAAGAAATTGATACAACATAAAAGAAAATCTAACTTTACTATAAAACAATTGAAATTATCTACTATATTTACCTTTATTTTTCGATTTTTCTTTTAATATTGGTCTCAGTATGAGAACCTTTAACTATTCATAATAACGTAATATTTTAATTAATATTAAAATCCAATTTGGATGAATCAACTATCATCAATAAGAAACATTTGATTTCCTCCACAGTTGATTTCACTATCTATCTTCATAATATAAAATTACATCACAAAATCTCCCCTTTCAAATTGAACTTTTCCTTCCTTACTGTCAAATATAAATTTTTTTTTTCGCTTGGAATCTTCCTATCGACAATAATATTTTGCTTCGTTAGTGAGGAAAATGACAAAATGAATATTCTATTAAATAATAAGATAATCGATAATAATAACCCATTTTCTGAGCATTGTTGCATAAAAAATATTGTGCACATTAGACATGTTTG